GATCTCCCCGTCACCTGATCTCCCCCCACAGACCGACCGATCTCCCCCCACAGAGGGACATTTCTCTCCATCACCTGATCAACATAATTGTCTCCTCCCACAGACTTACAGTTCCCTGCATTCCCCAATCGCCCCCTCTCCCCACATTACCCCCAGACAGATCCCAGACCTCCGATGACCCCCTAGCCGAGTCATCACTGATCTGCAGATCCCCTGCTGTGTGTTCATCATGGCATTGTACAGCGCTGTACACATTACCTGCTCTCCAGCAGCAGCGGTCTGTGGTCTGGGTGTTATCACAGCGATGAGACCGCAGATAGTAGCAATGTTTCCTTCTCCCCGGCACTAGACATAAATACAAAGGCGGGGTCACCGCTGTCAGCTCCACCCACCAATCACAGAGCCAGTACACAACGACAGAGACGGGAGGCGGGGCCACCTACAGACCGTCAGCCCCAATCACAACGCTGTCTATTCCCATCAACCCCCGCCCAGGTGTCACGTGCTCCGAATGCGCATGACCCTGACTCATCACACGGCTCTGCGCACAGCGATCACTTGATTGGTGGTTCTTGGTTACAAAATTGCAACATTTTAAAAGAGAACTCCAGACCAAACTTCCTGTTCTCATTATGTGTCATGTAGGTAAGGGGGCAGACCTTCTGCCTAATTTTATTACAGACCAAGACCTTGTCAGTGCGATTATCTAGGATTTATATAGCGCTTACAGTTTGTGCGGCGCATAATTTCCTCTTATTTGGTGGTCACTGGGACAGGAAGTGAGGAGAAATCTACCATACCCTCCTCCGTCCAGAACAAAAAAAAGTAAAGTTTGATCTGGAAATAAACTTTATGGAGCATCTGCAAGTCTTCTACTAACCTACAGCGTGCACAGCTCCGATTCTGTAGAGAAGATACAGAAAGAGAAATATGGAACAGCAAACGTTCTCGGGCACATCAATAAATGGCTTAGAGAGAAGTAGGTCTACAATGATTAAAGCAACCCAGCACCCCACACACACCAGTCCCGCCATGGCCCCCTTTATTCCGATGGGTCAGTCCATTCATACTCATATCAGTCCTTTAAATAAATGACAACAGGTACAGTCAGGAGGCATCTTAGTAGAGGGGGGGGGGCAGGTGTGTGGGGGGGCCACAGTGTCCCAGGTTGCTAGCAACCTATGATAATCAGCCCGGCTGTCACAGACGTCATCAGCTGCCAGGGAGCCGAGCGGCACGCTCTGACTGGAGTCTCACCAAGCTCCTGGCAACCAGTGATCTGAGCGGGAGCTGGCCACCCGTCCCACTGCATCCAACACCGTCCCATGTGATCCCCTCCAAAAGCTCCATCAGCAGCAACCACCCTTCCCCCTGCTCTACGGCCCCAGGTGGCATACTGGGTAGCGACGGCCCTGCGTACAGTTGTCCTTTGCAGTGCCTGCCTGGCGAGAGTCACCCTGCCCCATCTGTCCTAGGACTAATAGAAACTAAAAATGTCAAGTGACCACCAGAACAGGAATAGATGGAATTTCTGTGTGTAAAGGGGATTTCCCTTATTTAGGAGAGTTCTCCTCTCATTTCCTGTTGTGTCTGCAGAGCAGGACATGAAGGAAAATCTCCCCAATGGGAAATAGATGGCAATAAAGTCGGACACTTTAACCATTCACCATATGTAAGAGACAAAGGAAAGCACCCTGGAATCAAATATTTCAAAGACGTTTTGTAACTTTTGATCACCCTTCACCCACAGCGAGATGGCACCCACAGCGAGATGAGATGGCACCCACATCGAGATGGCACCCACAGCGAGATGAGATGGCACCCACGGCGAAATGAGATGGCACCCACAGCGAGATGAGATGGCACCCACGGCGAAATGGCACCCACAGTGAGATTACACCCACAGTGAGATTACACCCACAGTGAAGATGGCACCCACAGCGAGATGGCACCCACGGCGAGATGAGATGGCACCCACGGCGAAATGGCACCCACAGTGAGATTACACCCACAGTGAGATTACACCCACAGTGAAGATGGCACCCATGGCGAAATGACACCCACAGCGAGATTACACCCACAGCGAGATTACACCCACAGCGAGATTACACCCACAGCGAGATGAGATTGCACCCACAGCGAGATGAGATGGCACCCACAGTGAGATTAGACCCACAGCGAGATTACACCCACAGCGAGATGAGATTGCACCCACAGCGAGATGAGATGGCACCCACAGTGAGATTAGACCCACAGCGAGATTACACCCACAGCGAGATGAGATTGCACCCACAGCGAGATG